GGGGCTCGATCCCAGGACCCTGGGATCATGACCCGAGCCGAAGGCAGACGCCTAATGACTGAGCCACCCAGGTGCCCCAAAAAATAAGAATTATTTACTTTAAGAATAACTTCCTCAATTTTGATTCATTAGGAAAGTTATATAAAATATCTTTCCATTCCTTCTGAAAAGTTAATATTTAGTTTATTCATAAGGCTAAAACTGCTTATTAGTTCATTTATGAAGGGCCTACAATAGTAACAGTACTAGTAGTAATAACACTAATGATAGTAATAGTCATGGTAGAAGTTTAGATCATATTTACTAAAAGCCAGGACTTGCTTTGTATTTATGTAATAGTCTTGTAGGTAGTTATTATTGCTGTTGTTATTGTTATTGTTATAACCTATTTTATGCATGAGGACACTGCAGCCAGAGAGGTTAACTAACTTATCCAAAGTCACATAGCTAGTATGATTTAAACCCAAGTAGTCGGGCTCCAGAGTCTGTGCTCTCAGAATACTACCCAGCTTTCCATTCCTCAAGCAGTCATAGTCTACAATGAGAAGAGACAACTCATTGTTGTTACTTTATGGGACATCAAAAATGGTGCAGGTCTTAAAGTAGAAAATTGCCAAATAGGCACAAAGAGTAGAAGGATTGAGTGCCTCCTGTGCAAAGGCATGGAGGCATCAAAATGCGTAATGTGTTTGGAAGTTGACGGGACTTGTGGTATAGCTGGCGTCCAGTGTGAATGGGAGGAAAAGTTGGGGGATACAGCTGGAAAGGCTGAGAACAGATTTTGAAGAGCCTCCTGTGTCCCACTAAGGAATCTGAATGTCATTCTGTAGGTAACATGGAACTCCCCAGGGACTAGATGTGATGAGTTCTGGTTGCAGTGTGGAAAATGGCTTGGAGTGTGGAGGTGCTGAGACTGCAGCTTGGAAGAGTCCAAGCAAGAGATAATTAGGGCCAAAACTTTACTGGTGATATTGGGAATGAAGAAAGCAAATATTTTTAAAATATTTTAATTTTTTTCTGATTCATAGCAGCACATACTTATTATTTTAAACTATAGGGACACCTGGGTGGCTCAGTCGGTTAAGTGTCTGCATTCAGGTCAGGTCATGATCCCGGGGTCCTGGGATCGAGTCCTGCATCGGGCTCCTTGCTCAGTGGGGAGCCTGCTTCTCCCTCTGCTGCTCCCCCTGCTTGTGCTCTCTCTCTCTCTGGCAAACAAATAAATAAAATCTTAAAAAAAAAAAAAGAAATGTATAATATAGAGGGAGTACAAACCAAAATTCTCCCAAAGAAAACCATTATCAACAATTTGGTGATAATACCCCTGTGCTTTATTCTCTGTTTTAATGATTCTTTTATTTTTTAATCCAGACTTTAAATCCATTCCTTCACATCCTGTTGTAGATACCATTTATTGAGCACATGCTATGTGCCAAGTATTGCATTCAGTATCTTTACTTATGTTATTTCATCTAATTCTTTTAATAATACTGTGAGGACTGGGTATTAATTACTCTTACCATTTTATAGATGAGGACATTGAAACTTAGAGTAAGGCTACTGCTCAAGGTTATACAGCTAATAAATGACAGAACCAAGTTTTCAATCCAGATCTGTTTCTAAATTCCATGTTCTTTACCATTATTGTATCTTTAATAAGATTTGTGGACCATTCAGGTGTGAAGGAAAAGAAAATTATAGAAGATCCTGAGTACAGGGTAGACAAGAAGTCCTAAGTAGACTTTCTCTAAATGAACTTTTCTCTTGGACCAGGCAAGTGACATTCCAAGTTACTGAGAGAACTTAAACCCCTCTCAGTGATCCATAAAAAATCATAGCCAATGGAAGATGTTCCAGAAGTCTAATACTGAAATCATAAATTTATCCTAATAATACTTAAAAAAAAATTTTTTTTTTTTAAAGATTTTTATTTATTCATTTGACAGAGATAGCCACAGCAAGAGAGGGAACACAAGCAGGGGGAGTGGGAGAGGGAGAAGCAGGCCTCCCACAGAGCGAGGAGCCCGATGCGGGGCTCGATCCCAGGACTCTGAGATCATGACCTGAGCCGAAGGTAGACGCTTAACGACTGAGCCACCCAGGCGCCCCTACTTAAAAAATTTTTAATCCAAAAATTTCAACCATATACAAAAGTAGAAAGTACGAAGAAACCCTATGTACCCATCACCCAATCTTAACAACCATCAATATTCCGCTGTGTTTGTTTCATCTATCTCCCCAACACCTCCCCTTCCTTTTTTGGCTAGAGTATTTTAAAGCAAATCCCAAACCTCATGTAATTTTGCTTTATCAACCCTAAATAATTTACTTTGATATGCATTGCAAAAATAAAAAAGATAAATTTTACATAACCACAATGTAATCATTATACTTAAAAAGTAACAATAATTCTTTAGTAACTAATACCTACTCCATACTCAAATTTCCTTGATTGTCCCTCCCCCAAATTTCCATAGTTGGTTTGTTCAGTTAAGGATCCTAACAAGTTCCACTTACTGTATTTGGTTGTAATGTCACATAAGTCTTTTTAAAGTCTCTTTTCATTGAGAACAGTGCCTGCTCCCCTTTTTATGAAAAACTGAGTTCATTGTGCTACAGAATTTCCTCCATTCTGGATTTGTCATATTGCTTCCTAATGGTGTCACTTAA